TGAATCAGTCTATCTCATTAGGGTCTTCCTCTCCTGTGCTGTCCCTCGACCCTCCCAAGCATGATGTCCCTCTCCAAGGACTGGTCCCTCCTGGCACCATGTTCAAAGTATGTCAAATGAAGCTTCAGAATCTTTGCCTCCAAGGAGCAGCCTGATTTCACCCTCTCCAAGACAGACCGGTTTCTTCTCTTAGCAGTCCATGGTACATTCAAATCTCTTCTCCAACATGACAGCTCAAAAGCATAAATTCTCTATCATTCCTAGTTATTGTCCAGTTCTCTGATGCATAACAAGTGATTGCAAAGACCATGGCCTGTATCAGGCGCACCTTAGTCTCCAGACTGATATCATCGCTCTTCAGTACTTTGGAGAGGCCTCTGACAGTAGACTTTCCCAATGCAATACGTCTTTTAATTTCCTGGCTGCTGGTGCCAAGCATGTTGATTGTGGAGCTAAGCAAACTAAAGCTGTTGACAACCTCAATTTCTTCACCATCCATCTTGATGCTGCCAATCAGCCCAGTGGTGAGAATCTTTGTTTTCTTCAGAATGAGCTCCAATCCTTATTGAAGACTGCAGTCCTTGACCTTCTGCAGCAAGTGCTTCAGGTCCTCCTCAGTTTCAGTAAGCAGGGTTGTGTCATCTGCATAACACAGATTGTGATGAGTCTTCCTCCAGTCCTAATGTCACATTCCTCCTCATAGAGCCCAGCCTCCCGGATAATCTGGTCTGCAGATAGATTGAAAAGTTATAGAGATAGGACACATCCCTGGCGTACACCCTTCCTAATTTTGAACCATGCAGTGTTTCCTTGCTCTGTTCTGATGTCTGTCCCCTGGTCCAAGTATAGGTTTCGCATAAGCATGATCACGTGTTCTGGGATTCACATTCTTCTTAGAGTCAGCCACAGTTTGTTATAGTTCACACAGTCAAACTATACCTTTGCATAGTCATGAAACACAGACATTCCTCTGGTCCTTCCTGCTTTCTTCCAAGATCCATCTAACTTTAGAGAGAATATCCCTAGTACCACGGCCTCCTTTAAACCCAGTCTGCACTGCTGGCAGTTCCCTGTGGAAGTGCTGTTCCAGTCATTTTTGGATAATCTTCAGCAGAATCTTGCTTGCATGTGATATTAATGATATTGTTCAGTGATTTCCACAATCTGTTGGATCACCTTACTTTGGAATGGGAACAAATATAGATCTCTTCTAGTCAGTTGGCCAGGTGGTTGTCCTCCAGATTTCTTGGCAGAACTTGGTGAGCACATCTAGGGCAGCATCTGTTTGTTGAAATATATCAGATGGTATACCATCAATTCCTGGGGCCTTGTTTTTTGCCAGTTCTTTCGGAGCAACTTGAACTTCTTCCTTCTTCTTGCTCATACATTGTTTCATGAAATTCTTCTGTGTTCGCCAACTCCTTTTGGTATAGTGATTCTGTATACTCTGTTCATCATCTTTTAATTCTTCCTAGATCATTTAATATTCTGCCCAAAACATCCTTAAGTGTTGCAACACAAGGCTTAAATTTGTTCTTCAGTTCCTTCAGCTTAAGAAATGCTGAACGAGTTCAGCCCCTTTGATTTTCCGACTCCAGCTCTTTGCACATTTCATAATACTTTGTCTTCCCACGCTGCCCTTTGAAATCTTCTGTTCGACTCCTTAATATCTTAATGCAAAAGTTGGGAACAGAAAAGAAGGATCAGTAGTTGAAAAACATGGACTTGGTGACACAAATGAAGCTGGAGATAGAATGACAGAATTTTGCATAATCAACTATTAATTGCAAATATATTTTATAAGAAACATAAATGCAGGTTATACACATGGATTTCACCTGTTGGTATGCATAGGCATCAGATTGATTACATCTGTGAAAAGAACTGCTGGAGAAGCTCAATATCAGCTGTGAAAACTAGGCCAGGAGCTAATTGTGGAACAGACCACTCATATGCAAGTTTAAGCTGAAGCTGAGGAAAATCAAATCCAAGGCAACCAAAATATGACCTTGAACCTATCCCACCTGAATTTCAAAACCATCTCAGGAACCGGTTTGAGATTGAACACTAATGAGCGAAGACCAGATGAGTTGTGAGAGGATATCAAGAATATCATCCAGCAAGAATGCAAAAGGTCATTATAAAGACAGAGGAGGAAGAAAAGACCAAGATAGATGTCAGAAGAAACTTTGAATATTGCGCTAGAGTGCCAAGAAGCCAAAGAAAAGGGAAGAAGTAAAAAAAATGTATACAAACTTTGTAAGCAAGTCAGTGTAAAAGAAAAATTCCTTTTTTAAAAAAAACCCCAAAACAAAAGGAAATCCCACAAATACGTGGTGGGAGCTATTTCCAAAGAATCGACCACTGATAACCCTGTAGAGCCTAATTTTACTCCTGACACCTGTGAGGTCGATGTGAGAATTGACTCATTGGCAACAAACTTGTAGCTTATTTACTTTCAGCTGTCTGCAGACCTCTGTGCTGGGGAGTCGGGGACACGGCAGGCTCAGGAAGCTTAGAAGATCCTGGGCTTGTTTTCTTTTAGTTTCTGAATGGTCTGAGTTTTCCTGCAACGAAACTTTGTTTCTGGGCAACCAGAAGATTAAGATGTGTGTAATTTTTGGAGAATGTTTAAAGAAAAGTTAATGAGGCCGTCTCGAGAGACTGTGGGCTGTTCTACACAGATGCAGACCTGCTATGGCTCATTGAGCTTCAAATTACGAGGTTCTGAGTTTCCCCTCTTAGGAGTTAGAGGGTGGTTCTCTCCCAGCCTTGCAAGGCCTGAGCCCTCCTCCCAACCACTCACAGGCTCTGCGGAGAGCTGGTCAGGCCAGATAAGCCCTTCTCCTGATGACTGTCTGGGGCTAGACCAAGGCTTGCTTCAGCCTGGTTGGGACTTCCATCCTTCTCTCCCTGCACTTCTGCCTGAAGAGTGGGTGGAGGACCTCAGAGGCATGCTAAGAGGGACTGAGGGCTAAGTCAGGACATCACTGGACTCTTGAACCTCTTTGGCTTGTTCCTGTCTGAGCAGAAAGATGCTCATTAGAATGGCTAATTCTGGTATGTGTGCTAAGGAATTGCTTCCCTGATCAACTCCATTTAAGGTAGGCCCATAGAAACCGCAACCTCATTGCTGTTAAGTGGGAATCAACTCATCACAGACTGTCCTGTAGGTTTTCTGGGGCTGTAACTTACACGGGAGGAGATTGCCCATCTTTGTCCTGTGGAGTCACTGGTGAGTTTGAACCACCAAAGAAGTGCAGCCTTTGGGTTAACAATGCCACTCCCTGAGAACTCTGTGTCAGGGTGTAGGTAGAAAATGCCCCTAGAAGTCAAGTTCATTTACCTGTCAGCAATATCAGGAGTGAGAGTGGCTGCAGATAACAGAAAATGGTTCTAAAGTCGTAGAGCAAAGATGCTGGTGTGGACAGCCAAGGTGACACCAATTCAGTGATGGTGGTACAGCGTTTAAGCACTGACCTGTTAACTGAAAGGCTGGCCATTTGCATTTACATATTGTCCCTGTGGGAGAAGAGACCTGGGGATTTGCTCCCAAAGAAGTTTGTCTTTCGGGTAGAATTGCACCCCAACCCTATGAAGCGCAATTCCACACTATTCTATAGGGTCACTAGGAGTTGTTGGCTGTTACCAAGTGGGTCACCAACGCATGGTGAGCCCATGTACAATGGAACCGCCCCGTCCTGAGTTATCTTCATGTCTTCATGATTGGTTATATGCACCATCGTGATCCATAGCATTTTCAGTTTTTGTGTTTTTGTAATTAGATACACAGACCTCTTTTTCTAGCCCTTCTTTTCCTATAAACTTTATTGAGATTTAGTGAGCATTATAGCAACATGTAGTATGTTGGCCAGGAATCGAACCTTGAGTCTGTCATGTGGAAGCCGAGAATTATACCACTGAATGACGATAGCTGCTGTCGATGGAGATGCTGTTCTTTACTGTCAAGTCAGAACCAACCCACAGCTGACCCTTTAGTGGGTTTTCAGAGCAGTTAAGACACGGGAGATTGCTCATTTTTCTTCTGCAGAGCAGCTGGTGGATTTGAACCATGTACCTTTGAGTTGGCAATACAGCTTCTTACCACTGAGCCACTAGAGTTTACTTAGAAATGAAGATTTATTGAATTAATGAAACAAGAATCTCAGGATAGGCAGTTTGCGTTTCGGCTTGTATGATGTCTAAGCTCTTCTTTAGGGCTCCAACATCTCTGGAGTCATTCAGGCCAGTCACGTTGCTTCTACACAATGGTTGCTGCATCTCCAGGCATTGCTTCTGCATTCGAGGCAGAATGAAATAGGAAGGACCAGTGCTTTTATCAGGAAAGCCAGTGTTCCCAGATAGCTTTAGCTTGCTTTTCGTCGCCCAAAACTATGCCATGCAGCTTCCCCTAGCAACAAGAGAGGCTGTCGGGGCAGAAAATTTTGCTAAAATACATTGTAATCTTGCCATTTGGTTGATTAGAAAGAAAGAGGACTAGATACTGGGTAGGCAGTTGGTGTCTGCTACAGTGATATGAGTGGTGTGCCCCAGTTTTCCCAAGCAGGGTCACAATGAGGCATCTTTGGAAACTGATAGCTTGGTCAGAAAGAGCCAGTGTGGCCTGAAAGCAGGCCTAATGTAGAAAGAGGGAGAGGTCAGGAAGAAGAGTAAAGAACTGAACTCATTGAACTGTGTGTGCCACTGAACCCAGGCTGTGCTCACAAGAGCATGGCTCCCAGAACACTGAACCCACATGCTGGTTTGGAAGGTCCTATATGAGCCGCATTGGCACACTTTGTTTGGGAAAGAGAGGGCTGGGTTGCCACCTTTCTGAAAAGCCCCTTTTAAGCACCATCAGCCATTCACAGGGCTCTTCCAGAGCCAGCTCTAGTAGTTTTGTGGTTCCCCCAGGGCAGAGCCCCCACTGCTACCCCCAGCTGACTAAGTTCAGGAGCTTTGCACACTCATCAATGCGCTTGTCATCTCCTCCCCTTCAGAAAATCCAGCAGCTCTCGGAGGGCTCCATGTTTGGCCACGGCCTGAAGCACCTGTTCCACAGCCGCCGGCGCTCGCGGGAGAGGGAGCAGCAGGCGACTCAGGACAGCCAGCAGTCGCACCACCAGGGCATGTCTGACCATGACTCCCCCGACGAGAAGGAGCGCTCCCCGGAGATGCACCGCGTCTCCTACGCCATGTCCCTGCACGACCTGCCCGCCCGGCCCACCGCCTTCAACCGTGTGCTGCAGCAGATCCGCTCCCGGCCCTCCATCAAGCGGGGCGCCAGCCTGCACAGCAGCAGCGGGGGCGGCAGCCGTCGCACCAAGAGCAGCTCACTGGAGCCCCAGCGGGGCAGCCCCCACCTGCTGCGCAAGGCCCCGCAGGACAGCAGCCTGGCGGCCATCCTGCACCAGCACCAGGGCCGGCCCCGCTCCTCGTCCACCACTGACACGGCCCTGCTGCTGGCTGACAGTGGCAACGTGTACCTCCTGGCCGAGGAGGCCGAGGGCATCGGAGACAAGGTGAGGCCAAAGGAGAAAGGCTCTCTGAGTGGGTGGGTGGGCGCCTACTCAGAGCAAAGAGTTGTCAGGCTGCTGGGAGACCTGGGCTGGGGTTGAAGTGGGTGCTGACACCCAGCTCTCTTATCAGCTCTGGTTGGAGGTGTCAGACGTATGACTAAGCCAAAGCAAGAGTAAATTTTTTTTTTTTTTAAATGGCAAATTTGTGTTTGGATTTACACGCCTGTTTTCCAGAACTGTTTACTGTTTTGGTCTGTTCTGCTTAAGCATCTTGTGAAAAGGCATTGAATATTGTAGTTAATTAAGAGCACAAATTAGAACTCAACCCTGCTTCTGCCCCTTAGTAGCTGGGCAAGTTCCTTAGTCTCTGAGTACCTCAATTTTTTCCAATGGAAAATGGGGATAATCAATCATTGTAGGATGGTAGGAGAATTAAATGAGTTCATGTGGCAGGGCTGTCTTGGAGAGGGTGAAACCAGGTTGCTCCTTGGAGGTAAGGATTTTGAAACTCTTTCTCACATACTTTGGGCATGTTGCCAGAAAGGACCGGGCCTTGGAGAAGGGGAGAAGGACATCATGCTTGGAAGAGTGAAGGGTCAGTGCCAGAGAGGAAGACTGTGGATGAGATGGATTGTCACAGTAACTGGGGTAATGGGGGTAGGTGTGTCGGTGTCAGTGAGATTGGCTCAGGACAGGCAGGGTTCAGAGCTATTATTCATAGGGTTGCTATGAGTCGCAGGCAACTCGATGGCATATAACAGCAACAATATGAGTAACACCCGAAGCAGAGCCTCACCCAGAATTGTTTTTATTGTAAACTACCAATTAAGCTGGAGCTCTGGTGACAGAGTCCCAAGGGTTCAAATCCATCCACTGTTTTGAGAGAAAAAGATGGGCATTCTACTCCCAGTACCAATTTACAGCCCTGAAAACCTGCTGGAGGGTGGCTTTGAGTCAGAATTCACTCCATAGTAATAAGTGAGCCAATGAATGACCACCCGAGGAAGCCAGTGGAGGAACACAGGAGGAGTTGTTTGGTAGGGAGAAAAGCCCAATGGACACTTGATGAATGTATGCGTTCATTCTTATGTGTTTTAAGTGTTGATTATTGCAGTGCTGCATGAGCTAGGCTGGCTGTCCACCATCCAGAAGGGGAGACAGATGGGAGAGTGGAAAGTTAATGACAGCAGGGTGATGAGGATTCTGATGGGTGCTGTGGGAGCTTTGAGGAGAGTGTGCAGCACAGAAGGAGTGAAGAAGGGGTGTTGGAGAAGACCTAGAGAAAACTGTTCAATGACTCTTGAAGGAGTATAATTTAGCCAGTAGACAGTTGAGGGTAGAGGGTTGATTGTGGTTGGAGTGTCCAGTATTTTTAGGGACTGGCGGGTAGAGAGAGGCCTTGCCATGTGTGGCCAGGAGGAGTGTGAAGCTTCTGAAGGTTGACAGGCAGAAATTGTTGGGCAGAGGTTGTCTCTTAGGGTCTTGGTGTAGACAATAGAAAGCGTGGAGCTGAGTGGGAGGGCTTGCCTGACACAGCAGAGGCACCGGCTGAGGTGGGAGGCTCTGAGTTTAACAGGGAGCACTCCCAGTGGCTTTGGCTTGTTTCCCTTCTGGTGGTGGTCAGTGGTCATCCCTCTCAGTAGCCAGAGGGTAGGGACAGAGCTGAAGGGCTGTCAGGCTGGTCTGGGGAGGGAGTTTGTTGGGTTGCTGTTAAGGACGTGGCTGACAGAGGGATTGGGAATGTGGGCCAGAGAGTGTTCAAAGGACTTGATCTTAGTGGATATGGAAGAAGGCTGGGAAGTATGGTGGACACAGGCAGGCTGAGGGTCATGGGGAGCGGCAGGGACATTGACAGTAAAGAGGAGAGACAGGTCATTGGAATTTACGATTTTGGGAATTGAAATAGGAGAGAATTATTGTTCTCACAGGAGGGTAGCTGACATGGGATGAATTGAAGGATGTTTATTGTACTTTTGCACAAATAATGCATGTGTTGCAGGATTTTCTGGTCAATAATATAACCCATCACATTCATTTCGTGTTCATGCTACTGATGCAAGTGTAATATATGGGGAAATGGTCATTTGAGAAGGCAAGAGCCAAGCCGTTAGGTTGTTGTGTCCATGGAACATTGGAATCCACTGACCGCTGGCAGGACTTGATGAGAGGAAGCCTGGCCAGAGTGTTGTGGACTAGGGGTCAGGGAGTGGTCAAGAGCGAGGACAGGGGTGGCTTTTGTGAGTGGGTAGAATGTGATGGCAGGGACCTTACAAGAATGCAGGCTTCTCTGTGAGGGTGAAGGTGTGATGCTGTGGAAGCAACACAAGGACCAGCCAAGTCATAGAGTATTGGAGAGAAAGGAGGAAGAGAGTAACTTGGACTTGACCAGGCTACAGGGAAGGAGAGCTGCAGTCAAAGCCTGGAGTGGAACAAGTGTCCTTGGACTGGTTGAGTTCCAGGCACCTTTGGGAGGTATCGAGGCAGAAAGGACCAGCTCACATGGCAGAAAGGACTGGGCTAGGGGAGAACTTTGGAAGTCAGTACTGCATGAGGACATAATCCCCCAAAGGGCATGGAATATGGGCGGGAATAGTGTACATGCGGTGGAATGAAGAGGGCAGAGGCTTGAAAGAGAATCGATGCTGAGTGGTATAGAAATAAGAGTGTGAGAACTAATGAATGACCCCTTACAATTGGGCCTGTGATGTTGGATGGGATATGTGCATGCCGTAATAGAAGACCCCAAACTAGGAAGCTTAAAGCAATAGAAATGTGTTGTGCCATGGTTCTAGAAGATGGAAGTCTGAGTGCAGTGTGTCAGCAGGGTCATGCTTTCTCTGAGGGTTCTAGGGAAGATCTTCCCTCTTCTGCCCCCACTTGTGGTGGCCCCACACCTCAACTTGTAGCTGAATCACTCCCGTCTCTCTGTGTCTTCACGTGGCTGTCTTCCTTCTGTGTCTCTGTAGAAGGGCACCAGTTTCCTCAGGATGAGACCCACCCTCCACCAGTATGACCTCATATTAACACAAAGCCATTTGACTCTGTGGATCATGACAAGTTGTGGCTCACATTGAGAAGAATGGGAATCCCAGAGCACTTTGCTCATGTGGAACCTATATCTGGACCAGGAGGCTTTTGTGCGAACAGAGCAGGGGACACTGCATGGTTTAAAATTGAGAAGGGAGTGCATCACAGTTGTATTCTCTCTTCATTCCTATTTAATAAGAATGCAGAGAAGAGTGGCATCACTCTGTATTGGAAGGAAACTCATCAATAACCTGTGTTATGCAGATGACACAACCTTGCTTGCTCAAAGTGAGGAGGATTTGAAATACTTGTTGCAGAAGAACAAGGAATGCAGCTTTCGGTATGGATTTGCATCTCTATGTCAAGAAAACAAAGATTCTTCCCACTGGACATAGGCAACATCATGGTGGAAGGAGAGGAGATTGAAACTGTCAACAGCTTCGTCTTGTTTGTATCTACAATTAACACCCTTGGTACTGTTGTTGTTGTTGTTAAGTAGACAACTCATAGTGACCCTGTGAATGAAAGACCTGAACAATTGTATAACTTTCATCCTTTCTCCAAGTTCATAGGGTTTCCAGAGGCAAGCTGTTTCAGAAGTGGATGCTACTCCTTCCAAGCTTGTTTTAATCGGGAAGCTTCACCAAATACTGTCCACCATGGATAACCTTTATCACATTTGACACATCAGTGTCACAGTGTTCAGCATCACAGCAACCATGAGTTACTTCTGTACAGCAAATGGACAGACCAGTGTATACCACTTAGAAGAATGACCAAAACCCAATTAAAACCAGGCCTGAGGACCACAGATTAAAATCACACACCTCTGGCTTGATAGCATCACTTTCTGACCACTAGACCAAATGAGCTCTCTTTATGTTGTTGTTGTTGTTGTTCTTGTTGTTACGTGCTGTTGAGTTGTATAGATGACTCATAGCAACCCTATGAACAAAAGACCTGAACACTTGTATAACGTTTATTGTTTCTCCAAGTTCATAGGATTTCTAGAGGCAAGCCCTTTCGGAAGTGGATGCCACTTCTGCTTCCAAGCTTGTTGTAATTGGGGAGCTCCATCAAACACTATCCACCATGGGTAACCATTATTGAATTTGACACATCAGTATCCCCTTGATACTAGCAGGCAGGAAATAAGGAGACGTATTGCATTGGGAAAATAGCAGTTAGAAGCCTCACCGAATTATTGAGGAGTTTGAGGACTAAAGTATGTCTGACTCAGGCCATGGTCTTTCCGATTACTTGCTATGCATCTGAGAGCTGGATAATGAATAAGGACAACAGAAAAAAAGAATTGACACCTTTGAGCTGTGGTGTTGGAGAACAGCACGGCCAAGAGAACAAATAGATATGTCTTTCAGAGGGTGCACCTGGAGTACTCTTTGAAGGCAAGAATGATGTGCTTTGCCTCACTTGCTTTGGGAATGTTGGTAGAAGGGGCTTTTCTTTGGACAGGGACATGATGCTGGGAAGGGTGGAGGGTGAGTGAAAGAGAGGAAGACCCTCAGCTATGTGGATTGACATGGTTGACTACCACAACGAGCTCTAGTGTGTCAGGAAGTGTGAGGATGGCACAGAATAGGATGGGATTCAGATCTTTTGGTCATTGGGTCGCTGTGAGTCAGACTTGACTCAGTAGCACCTAACAACAATAACTAACCATTGTATTTGTGGAGCTCTGGTGACTTAGTGGTAAGGAATTGCACTACCAATGCAAAGGTATGCGGTTCATATCCACCAGCTGCTGTTAGGGAAAGATGGGCAAGTCTCCTCCCATGCAGTTAACTGCCTCTTGAAAATCCACCAAAAGGTCAGCTCACCCATATACTACAACAACAACAAATTATATCTACAAAGAATATCTCCAAATAGTGTCACGTTCATACCTGGGGTTAGGACTTGAATACATCTTGTTGGGAGACATGAACAATGCACCATTTACCAGTTGTTACCAGAGC